AGACGAGAGAGGAAAGACCTCCTCACAGCTAGCAGGAAGCTAACACAGCAGCTGGTGCAAAGGTAGGTGTGTGCGTTTGTGTTGTACAGAGTAAAAAATGTTTTTAGGCAACTTTGTCATGAGTTTTACACAAAACTAAAAACTTTTTAGAGTTTATTACAGCACCGAGCACAGAGAGCAGCAGAACCTCCACCTGATAATCATTATGTTTTCAGTTCACTAACGTCGGGGAAAACAATCCAAACCATACAAGTAGCCCATCAATTTAAAGCCCAGACTCTGCTCTTTCCAACAATATAAGTGTCACAGCTCTACGAGAAAAATTCACAGAACAAGCAGCCAAGGAATAGAGAAAAAGGCTAAATTCTGGAACCATAAACACAAACGTCTTTCCTTTGTTTTTATGTCTTTAATCCACTTTGGAGTGATTTTTTTCCACTTGTCTGGACCTGTACGTCTCCTGTGTTAATGTTGGTACATGTAATATGATAATTCTGTACTGTGGACATCATTAAGAGTCGTTGTTGGGTGAAAAAAATCTTTCACTAACACTGTGTTGACCGTGAACTGGAAGTGTTGGGAGTGGCCCCGAGTGCTGGACTGGATATCCGTGGCATATAGGCTATTAAAATCTAAAAGAGATCTAAAGGAGGTTTGAATTGATTACATGGTAAAACAGCTTGCCGTAGTGTGAGCAGACTCGAGTCCAGATCATCTCACTGTCAAACCATCAGAACCAAAGCATAAGGAAAGCTGTGCTGCTCTTGATATTCCTGAAGTGATAATTCAGCTCTTCTGCAGTGGGTTCTGCAGTTATGAAGAATTGATTTCTTACCTGCTGTACATATATTTATTAAACAACCTTAGTTTGTAGAAAATTAGTTTTATTCTGACCATGACAGCTAACATCTGGTCTGAGTGGGGCTGAGAACAAAGAAACCCCAATCTCCAGCCTTTACTTGGGGATTTACTGTATGTGAAGAGTATTTTGGAAATGTTTACATTGCAGTCAATTTGAAATTATATGGTTATTGTCCTAAAATTGTGTGATAATTTGCAAGCAGTAGCTGCTAGCTGTAGCACTTTTGGGACAGTAGAATACTTCAGTGTTTGTAGTCACAGTGGGAGTGTTACATTTACCTGGAAAACTGTGATGTCCATCTTCCTGCAGCTGGGATATAATGTGTGTGAACATGAACCCAGATCAGATCCAAGCTACAGAAATCCTTATTTTTTGTGTTTTAGTTTCTATTTTTGACTTGTAACATTCAGTTTTTAATGTTTGCATAGTTCCTTGTGGCTCAAGAAAACATCCCCAGGGTCAGTAAAATGTGATTTGATTAAACTAGACGTAATAATTTAAATTTTTTAATATTTTTATCAAAACATAACATTTTTTGTGTATGATTCAAGCAAAAGATGTTCATCAACTTTGCTTTTCTGTTCTTGAAATGTGTTGTTGGCGCCCCCTGCTGGTGGTGGGTGGTCAACGAGCAGGTGAGGCCAACAGCAGTGAGTTCTGACCTGCTGGAGCTCATCTATCCGTCGTCTCAAGCCGTCCATCTCCACGCTCTGCTGGCTGTTCTTGGCCTGCAGCTCAGAAATGGTCTGTTTCTGCTGCGAGCTGCGGAGCTGCATCTCCTGCATGGATGAACGCACAGAGCGGAGCTTCTCCTCCAGGGAGGTCACATGTTCCTGCTGCTCAGAGGAGTGTTGATGTTACATATCAGTTTAAGCACAAAAAACTGCAATAAACTGAGTTAGAGCAGCATTTTTCCTCCTTTCAGCTTCTTTGAAGACAGCTTTGACCCACTAAGATACAGCTTTTCTGTGTAGGCTAAGGTGTATTAACCGAGGCGGCCATCTTGAATTGAGTTGATTGGAGAAGTTAATCACTTGTAAATGTACAATCAATAATTACTGTCTGAGAGTTTTATTAAAACATCTTCAATACTTTTTGCTAACGAAGAAACAAGGTTAACTGTGATCCAAAAACTAACTAAACTGTTTGCAAATTTTCTGCAAAAATCCTCTGATCATGAGTGAAACAGGAAACAGAAACTCAGGTGTTTTAAACCAACCTCCTCCTGACGCACTTGAGCTATGGTCCTCCCCAGCTCCTCCCCTGCCTGGACCTTCTCTGTCACACTCGCTGCTTTAGCCTTGCTCAGCTCCTACAACAGAGTGTTACCACAAAAAGCTACAGAGTCATGTCTTTATACTAAAATGAACAGAAATGTCTACACACATAAACTTCATTTCAATGAGCTACACTGCAAAAACTTTCCATCCAACCAAGTTTTAAAACCTTATATCAGCCAAAAAGTCTTTTTGATCTTGTTTTCAGACTGATTTACTAAACAAGAACTGATTGTGTAAGAATAATCATCTTGTTTTCAGAATGTGTAAGATTATTTGTCTTGTTAGCCTGAACATTTGACTCTAAGTCAAAATATCTGCCAGTGGAGTGACCCCCAATTTACACAACTTGTGTTCCATCTCCGCTCTGGTCCGACCTCCACAGCAAACACACACCCATTATAACCAGTGACAGTGTTTACACTGGCTGCACACGGCTGTGCAGGGCAGCGGTGAGCACACGGCGATCCGTCAAAATTAGAACAGATCCTATTTTTGCCAGATGCCGGAGCTGCGCTAGAGTCAATTTTTAAAGATTACGTCGCACCAACAGGAAAAGAAACGAGCACAACATCCGTATTTTCAAAATAAGACACTATTAGGTGGAATAATTTGTCGGAATAATGTCGACATTGCAGCTATATTAATAAATATACAGATATATTTCTACACAAATGCTGTCAGAATGTATGGTTCTGTTTGGGAAGCAGATGGAAACATGTAGCATGAAGCACATGTGTACACACATGATACACGTGGATTTTATTTTGAAATCAGAAGTTTCAGAAAGACGACAGGGAGACAGTTTCAACATAGATACCAGAAGCCTTTATGTTGTTGTTTTCAGCTGTTTGGAGTTCATCTTTCACAGAATTAATTATTTTTTGCTGTGACTTCAACATTTATCACTGAATTTATCACTCGATCTGCTTCCTGCACGTCTGTCGCACCGGACCGGAGGTAGTGTAAACTGGACTTGAAACACCCAGCTGTGACCTGCGCAGCGCAGCGCAGCGGAGCGGAGACGGAACACAAGTAGTGTAAATTAGGAGTAAGAAATTTTTACTTGGTAAGATTCTTGAAATCCTTGATTTGACTCAATTTTTTCTTATTTCAAGAATCTTACCAAGTAAAATGTTCTTACTCCACTGGCAGAAATGTTTGACTTAATTAGAGTCAAATGTTCAGGCTAACAAGACAAATAATCTTACACATTCTGAAACAAGATGATTATTCTTACACAATCAGTTCTTGTTTAGTAAATCAGTCTGAAAACAAGATCAAAAAGACTTTTTGGCTGATATAAGATTTTAAATCTTGGTTAGGTGGACAGTTTTTACAGTGTAAGTTTTTGGTTTACCATTTAGTCAACACTGTTATACAAGGACAAGGTCTGTCAGAACTGTGTTTTATGTATTATTTAGGTTTTGTTCTAATAAAAAAAAACAGTATAATTAGAGAAAAAAAGAAAAGTTAGGTCATAATGTTTGACAGGTGTTTCCCACTAAAGAGTGAAGTTAACAACGGGAAACACATCTTTTCAATCTAATCTGCTCCAAATCAGAAAATAACTCTGACCTCCTCAAGTTGAATCCGCTGTGCTTCAAGTTTGAAGATGCGTTCCTGCAGAGCTCTCTCACTCTCTTCCAGATGACGATTCAGGTGCTCTACCTGCGCAAGAATGGACATTTTCAACAACTTTCAAAATACATGTAACAATGAACCAATTTAAACACATCCATGATGCATCCATCCATTTTTTCCTACTTATCCGAGGTCAGGCTGGTAACAGATCCAAGCAGAAACCTGGTCTCCAGCCTTTTTGTGATTATAAGCAGAAATCCCACACATGTTGGAATCCTCCCAGTTAAAAAAACTGCAACATGTAGTATCAAAAACTATACTTTCAGACAATATAAAAAGAGTTCACCATTTATGTGGAGAGGAAAAACTCTTTAGCAGGAAGGGACCTCCAGCAGGACCGGAACCAGAACCTGGCTCAGGACCGGTGGGTTTGGGGGTACCGTTAAGGGCGCTGCCCTGGTGGACAGCCTGAGTGAGGGAGGCCATCGAGATTCTACTCCCTTGGTAATAAATGTGTTTGTTGGTTAGATGCTAGGGTCGCTCACTGATGTCATCAGCTCATTATCATTTTCTGAGCACAGAACCAAGGCTTGCTTTTTCACAAGTGGGTCTGCACGGGCTCAGTCCCGGCTCTGATACTTTACTCACTTCACTTGCTTTTCCACCTTCATGTTTTTTCTGAATATTCGGAGGACAGAACACACTAGGGATGGTGTGATTTATGATTCAATCGTCTATCGGCGATTGAAGGGTTGGAATGTGATTTTCTTTTTTAAGGGCGACCTTTATTAATTAATTAAATGCTGTGCCAGGGACGTAAAATAAATTTTATATGTACCCTTCTCTGTAAATTAAAAAGTTTTAATCATCATCATTGTGCTCTGTGCAAATCAGGGAATAAAATAACAGTACTGCGTCTCTGTTTTTTCTCTCGGAGTCGGAGCCAACGTGCGCAGCTCCTCTTCACGTTTCTCTTCTCGTCATTTTCTTGCTTTGGTGCGCCACAAATGACTCAAATAGTGATATATTATAAAGTTTAGTTACAAAACTAATAATCCATGACAATCATGCATTTGAAAAAATAAATTTAACCAATTACGAACTGGACCGGAGAGCACTCCCTCACCCCTGCTCATCCCTGTCACTCTGTGCACAGGTCGAACTTTTCACCCCCCTCCACATAAGAACACTTACGATTTATATGGTGTGATTGGTCTGAAGTTTGTGGGAGTGTTTGTTTGTGCTAAAAGCGCTCAGATGCAATCACTCACTTAAAAAAAAGAGAGAAAAAAGTGAGTTGTTTGAATGCCGACTACCAGGAAGCAGCGATCATAAAGATGGTCAAACGGCCACAACCTCATAAAAGGGATAAAACAGACGATTTTCACAGTGAAATCTGACTGATAAAAACTTTTGAGCTTAATCCTGGACCAGTGTGTGGATAAACAACATCGAGTGACGAGTGTCTGACTTTTTTTCCCACATTGGATTCCCTCAGGGTAGAAATCCCCTGTAGTGACGTATACAGCAGCGGGGAGGGGGGTTTCCCAGGAGCTCGGCGCGGGGGTCTCAGGAACTATGAAAGGTATGTGTGAACACCAACGCTGAATAACCTCGGAATTTACAAGTGACTTTAGAAAAAAGAAGCCATCGCTTATAATATGTGGACCTGTTTGCTTTTTTTCTTTTTTTTAACAATGTAACTGCGCATGTCTTATCAGCTGATTGGATCGTCTATCAGTGATAGCCAGTGACCATGATCTTATGATCTGAAAATAGGGACGATTTCCCATCCCTAGAACACACATCAGTCCCAGGCTGAGGGGTCTTATGAATGAGGCTAATACTGGTCCGTTGTGTTGAACGAGCTGAGCTGAGGAAAAGCTCTCTGTTTATCCACAGGTCTATGATCCTACCCTCACCTGTGATCACCAACTGGGTAAAAAGTACAAGATCTCAGATACAGGTGGTTGAAATGCAGTGTTGTATAAAGTACCTCAAAGTGATACTTGAGTAAAAGTACAAGTATCTTATCATAAAAATACTTTGGTAAAAGTTAAAGTCTTCTCTAAAAATATTACTTGAGTAAAAGTCTTAAAGTATCTGATCTTAAAAATGCTTTGGTAAAAGTTAGAGTCTTCTCTAAAAATATTACTTGTGTAAAAGTCTTAAAGTATCTGATCTTAAAAATGCTTTGGTAAAAGTTAGAGTCTTCTCTAAAAATATTACTTGTGTAAAAGTCTTAAAGTATCTGATCTTAAAAATGCTTTGGTAAAAGTT